AAATAACGGGTTTTGCCAAAACCGGTTTGGCTCAGTGGTAGAGCGTCAGTCTGGGGACTGAAAGGTCCCAGGTTCGATTCCGGTCAGGACATGTACTTTGGTTGCCGGCACGTCCTCGGTGGGGTTGTGCAGGAGGTAGCTGGTCGATGTTTCTCTCTCATCGATGTTTCTAGCTCGCTCTCTCCCCCCCCCCCCCTTCCTCTCTGTAAAAAGTCAATAAAATATATATATATTTTAAATAATTTCTTGTTTTTAAAGGGGCTAGTAATTTTGCCATTGTATTTAACTATTTTATATTTTCTAGTTTCAGTAATTCGCCAAAATGACTAACACAAAGGGAAAGAGGAGAGGCACCCGCTATATGTTCTCTAGGCCTTTTAGAAAACATGGTAAGTAGATTTGTCCTCTTTGAAACCAACCATGGTATACATTTGTGCTATGCTAACACACTGAGATGCAGATAATATAATGTATTCTAGTAGAAATTAACCACCTACCTAACTTAATTTTGTAATAAAAAGCATGAATTTTTTATAGTACTTACATTATCAACTAGCAAGATTTAAAAATGTACATATGCCCTAGTGCAATGGTTGCCAACCTTTTGGACCTCACAGATGACCACCGGTTAGCGACGTCTACCCTAGCGGGTTTTGCTCAGTGGATAGAGCCTTGGCCTGTGGACTGAAGGGTCCCCATTCAATTCCAGTCAGGGGCACGTGCCTGGGTTGCAAGCTTGTTCCCCAGTAGGAGGCATGTAGGAGGCAGCTGATTGGTGATTCTCCATTATCATTGATGTTTCTTTCTCCCTCTCTGAAATCAATAAAAATATATTTTAAAATAAAATGAAAATGTACGTAACTGCCCGGCTGGAGTGACTCTGGATGCAGCACCCTCCCATGCGACTGGTAACTGGTTCAGTACCTCTCAGAGCGCACATGCAGGTGCAGTCTCAAACCAGGAGTGGAGTGGAGGAGGCAGTCAGTGCAAGTCTCTCTCCCATCACTGTTTCTGCCTCTTCCTCTCTAAAGTCCACAAAAATAGTCTCTTAAAAATGTACACTATCAAAGGTGGGAGTGTGTTGAAAACTAGTGAGGTTATATTTTTTGACTTGACTTTTAATCTTGATATTACTGTTTTTAGGAGTTGTTCCTTTGGCCACATACATGCGAATCTACAAGAAAGGTGATATTGTGGACATCAAGGTAAAACTGGGGAAATAACATTAAAAGTTAGTCTAACAGTATGAAAACTAGTGTATAGTGCAGCTGTTGGCTCTTTTTATCCTCGCAAGTGAGGAAAAATCCATTGCCTTTGAACAGCTAATTTAATTTTACTTTTAAAACCAGTTTTTGAAGTGCTATTCTTGAGTCTAAGAATTTTCTCTTGTTAACAGCAGGTATAAAAATATAGGGGACATGAGGCGATACTGGATACCTTAGTGAGATTACTAATAAAAGTAGCGAAAGCTATGTTCTTTTGTAAGCCATATTTGAGTGTATTCTGGTACTCTGGAGCTTAATGATGATTGTCTTTTTGATTGCTCAAAGCAATGTGAAAAATGCATTTCACCGGCTCTGAAAGCTCTTGAGTTGCCATTTAAAAGAGAAAAAAATCTTTTAGTTACTTTAATAAAAGTCAGGGTTTAAAAAGAGGAGGCACTTGCTGAGGTGATATTTATCTTCTTTCTTAACAGGGAATGGGCACTGTTCAAAAAGGAATGCCCCACAAATGTTACCATGGCAAAACCGGAAGAGTCTACAATGTCACCCAGCATGCAGTGGGCATTATTGTGAACAAGCAAGTTAAGTAAGTGATGTATCGATAATAGTTCTTTGATTCGTATTCCCTCATACTGCCTTTGCACTTTGCCAATTGGGCTTAATGTCTTTATTGGTCATTCAAGTGGGGCAAAGGAAATATCCTTTTAAAACTCAAGCCGACGGGTGGGTTTGTTTTGTATCCTGTCAGAGGAAACAAAATAGACTTATAGTATTTGGTATTAGGCAGTTCTAGCTTAAACTGAGCAAAGTTTCATGAAAAGTGGAAGCAACTCAGAACTAGTACGTAACTCACAATGAAGAGGGTAATTAGAAAGAATCTTTGATTGGAGGCAGCCAATCAATAAAAAGAAAACTCCTAATTCATTGGGTGATGTCTTCACTATTTGAATTTAATGGGATTTTGCTAAATGGTTTACAACAAAGAATGTACTCCATTGGTTAGGAAGTGGCATCTATTGCATTATAGTTAAGCTTAAGGAAAATTGATTACTTAGATAAGTACCCTATTTTAAGGATCAGAAACTTGCCTTTGAAGCCTGCTACTTAAAAAACTAGTTCTAGTTTAAAATTTAAAAAAGTTTAATAAGGTACAAATGTTATTAGCAATCTGGTTTAGGTTAAATTATTTAATATTTGGGGGGGGGGGGGTCTGTTAACTTATCCTATCTGTGCATAAAGGGTTCATGGTTTATTTAATAAATGAAACCACCAAAAGTTTTTTTGAATTTGGTTATATTTTTTATGAAGCATTTATAAGGATTTCTGTTTTTTCCAGGGGCAAGATTCTTGCTAAGAGAATTAATGTACGTATTGAGCATATTAAGCACTCTAAGAGCCGAGATAGCTTCCTGAAACGTGTGAAGGAAAATGATCAGAAAAAGAAGGAAGCCAAAGAGAAAGGTACCTGGGTTCAATTGAAGCGTCAGGTGAGTGCTCAACAAAGGGTTTTTTGGTTGATCATGACAACTGAAAATTGCTCAGTAATAATTTTATATGAAAATTAGTAAAGTTAAAGCATTGAGTATATACACTGAGTGGCCAGAATATTATGATCTCGGAACGCATAATCTGGAACACATAATAATCTGGCCACTCAGAGTCTGTGTGTGTGTGTGTGTGTGTGTGTGTGTATGGGGGGGGGGCGGCCTGGTGCATGAATTTGTATAGGTGGGGTCCGGTGTGTGTGTAAGGGGGGGGGGCGGCCTGGTGCATGAATTTGTATAGGTGGGGTCCGGTGTGTATGTGTGTGTAAGGGGGGGGGGCGGCCTGGTGCATGAATTTGTGTATAGGTGGGGTCCAGCAAGCCTGGCCAGGGGGATTAGAACATGGGCAGTTGGCCAGCCTGCCTGCTGGTTGAACTTCTGGTCGAGGGAATAATTTGCATATTAGCCTTTTATTATATATGATATATGATATACACTCAGTGGCCGGATTAAATTATAATCGGCCACTCAGTGTATGTTACCTCATTGGTTCTGAGAGCACTTTGAAATGAGTTACAGTTCTTAACATAATTATTCTGTTGTCTTGTTTTTTAAATAGCCTGCTCCACCCAGAGAAGCACACTTTGTGAGAACCAATGGAAAGGAGCCTGAGCTGCTGGAACCCATTCCCTATGAATTCATGGCATAAGTGGGAAAAAATAAAGACTTCTGTGCTGATGATAATGTTTATTTTAATTGAGTGGAAGTGTGGCGTCCCTTCCCCCCAAAAGAATAATTAAAGAAAACTTCACCCTAACTGGTTTGAATCACTGGATAGACCTTTGTCAGCCTACGAACCTAAGGGTTCCAGTTTCGATTCCAGTCAAGAGCACATGCCCAGGTTGTGGGCTCGATCCACAGTAGGGGGGCATGCAGGATGCAGCCAATCAATAAAAGAAAACTCTGTCCTAATTCGTTGAGTGATGGCTTCAGTATTTGAATTTGGGGGAGGGGGATTGCTAAAAGATATGAAGTGGTTTACAACAAAGAATGTACTCCTTTGGTTAGGAAGTGGCACCTGTTGCATTATAGTTAAGCACAAGGAAAATTGATTACTTAGCCTAAGTACCCTATTTTAAGGATCAGAAACTTGCCTTTGAAGCCTGCTACTTGTTCGTTGTGAGTTACAGAGTTCTGAGTTGCTTCCACTTTTCATGAAACTGCTCAGAAAATCTATGTTTTGCCTATTTTCCATAAAAGAAAGCTGAAGCACAACTTGCCCACGGCCACAGGGACAAAGATTCAAACCTAGGCAGTCTGGCTCCATAACCAGGTCTTAATCTCTAATGTTATATTGCTTCATATTAATGGGAACATTTTATTTTTAAAAATTTATTTTATTGATTTTTTCAGAGAGGAAGAGAGATTGATAGAGAGCTAGAAACGTCAATGAGAAACATCGACCAGCTGCCTCCTGCACACCCCCTACTGGGGATGTGCCCACAACCAATGTACATGCCCTCGACCGAAATTGAACCTGGGACCCTCCAGTCCGCAGACCGACGCTCTACCACAGCTAAACCGGCTTCAGCTAATGGGAGCACATTTAAGTTCTCTTCCTAGATATTTACTTGGATATGGTAAACATAAAAAAAAGAATTGATCACATCTTATCCTAGCTGCCTTCAGTATTCTGTGATTCCTGTAGCAATAGTATCAGTTTATTTGACAGGAAAACTGACAGTCCTCTGAGTATTCTCTTCCCTACTCACAGACTCAATGACAACCTATTCATTTTTATAACTTAAGTCAGTACTATAAATGGGTAGTAAGCCCAATATTAACAGCCTTCAGATTTCTCCAGTGAAGTGTTATAGTAGTGGGTCTATAAGTCAAATGGATATTAGTCCTTAGCAGGTTTATATCTAGTGATAGTTGTGTTTAAACATGCTTATATTGGTCAATAATTCCCTATCACAGGAAGCAACCAGGAACAATTATGAATTCAGTTGCCATTCCTATTTAATGTTTTTTAAAATTTTTAAATCTTACTGATTTCAGAGAGGGAGAAACAATGATAAGTGAGTCATGGATTGGCTGCCTCCTTCACGCCCCCTACTGGTGATCAAGCCCGCAATTCAAGAATGTGCCCTTGAGCAGGATTGAATACAAGGACTTTTTTTTTTTTTTTAATTTATTGATTTTGTATAGAGAGGAAGGGCGAGAGATAGAGAGCTAGAAACATTGATGAGATTCCCTTGACTGGAATCAAACCCAGGACTCTTCAGTCCCCAAGCCGATGCTCTATCCATTGAGCCAAACCGGTTTTGGCCCAAGGACCTTTCAGTCTGCAAACTGACACTATCCACTGAGCCAAACCAGCTAGGGCTGTTTTCCAATCTTTGATGGCACCACTGCCCAGTTATAATCATTTTTAACTAATGTCTCACTTTGCATATTTTAAAATTGCATTTCCTGAATATCTTGTCTAGCATTTCAAGGCAAAATAGAGTATAAAGGAGTGTAGGACAGAAGAGGGAAGAGTTGGTACTAATAGCCTCTTGTTTCTGCCTTATGTCTTCACTGATTATTTCTGATATCTCGTGCCTGACCCTTTCCACCTGCTGCTTCCTTAACTTTAGATACAGACTTAAACACCAGCAAGTAAAACTAACAGCTTTTCCTGTGCCTTTCTCTGTTATCTTAAATTTCCCAGGCCCACTACAAATATGGCTCTGGCTCCACCACTCCAATGAAACTACTCAAAATTTGACCAAACACTTGCTAATTAAATTAGAGGCTTTTCAATTGGACTTTATCCCAAAATATTTGCCTTTTTTTTTTTTTTCAGAGTTCCAAGGGCTTCTAACATATCTTTTCCCCAGTTCTTAAACATGACTTCCCTCTCACTCTGGATTCTTTTATGTTTCATGTCTGTCTATGATTTGTTATGAGTAGAATTCTAAGCCAGTGGTTCACGAAGTATGGGTCCCCACCTGGCTGCATAAACATGCAGACCTGTACCAGAACAACGTTAGTCATTCTGGGGTTGGTCCAGCACTTACGTTCTGGGTGATTAAGATGCATATTCTAGTTTGAGAACTACTGACTTCTGTCATGGTCATCCCTAATATACTTGACACTTAGATTTCAGAGCTTACTTTCTGAAGCTCGGTTGATATTTACAACTCTGGGCAGCTCCATCTGAATGTCCTGCAAGTAGAGATTAGTTTGGAAAGTTTTATTAGATGAATTACCTAAGTTAAAAGTCTCTTGAGTTTTTAATATGCTAGGATTATGGTCCCTGCCTTGAAATTCAGGATCTTTTAAATGAGTAATCATGACGGATTGTAAGTTTGTAAGTGCAATACTATACAATTCCATTTTACACTTGTTGAATATGAAAAAAAGTACAATATTAACTATAGAACTTTTTATCCTGTTCTTACTAAGAGTCAAGACTGTAAAGGAGGTTGCATGGCTGCTTAAACTTTTAATTCTGATCTTGCCAGGTATCTTTTAAGGCCTTCTGTTTTTGTTAAGATGAACCCAATCCCGAGGGTTGAGTAAAATATAGCACACTCTTTTTGAAGTCTTCTAAAAATTGTGGCTAAATATAATTAGATTTCCTATCCTATATTCCCACTAATGTACATTAGCATTTTCTCTGGACTGGGTTGGAAAAAATGCTAAAATATAAAACAATGCTAAATAGCTATAAGAATTGCTAAGATATAAACAAGGTAGGCTTTTCATTCTTTTCACATGAGAATTTTAAATTAATTGAATTTATTTGAAATAGGCATGTTTATAGCATTTTTTTCAACCCAGCCCCAGTTAAAGGGGAAAAAAATTGGTGTTCATGCAAAACACCTAATCTGTTAGACAAGTTGCTTGGTTATGAATAATAACGAGGCAGTATCTGCCGCTGTTCCTGTTGAGATGGAAAGTGTATCAAGGAATGGATAAGCAGCCAACCAAGTTTCTGCATTATAATGCTTTTCAAACAGCAAAAGTGTAGAATGAGGAGCAATTGACAGGCCATCTCACAAAGCCCCAAATGCAAAAGTCTGGGAAGTGTGTAGGGAAATGCTTTCATACCCACTTTCCTAGCAAGAATAGAATTTATGGAAATCATTTGGATTGGAAAAGAAATGGAAAAAGGGTCCTCTTTATTGTCTCTACTAAATGAGGTAATGGCTTAGCTTAAGTGATATGTGATTGCATATTTTGCTCCTGAGAGAGAAGGTTCAGATTAAGTTCAACCTGTTTTGTCATTCCATTTACATGACCAAAGTGCTTTCCATGCTGCACCAAGATTTGAAATCGGGTTGGATTGTCTACTACTGAATGACTCTGACTGGATAAATTATTAATCTCGTCTGAACATCAGTTTAGAAGATATTTTGCCAGTTTCATAGGGTTAAGATTAGGGAGAACTAAGATTTAGACTTTTTTGATAATTCAACTAATTTTCGAATTATAATAAACTTTATGAGGATGACTGATGGCAGACAGGAGTGTCTTATGTACTTTGTTGTCTTTTTAGTAAATGTTTTATAATAGAAACTTAGCTATTCTTTGTCTTTTGTGCCAGCACTTAAGAGCCTTACAGAGTAGATTTTCAATTATTTTGACAGTTGAAATAAGGTAGGGAGTTGGTATAAGACAGAAGCATAATTCCTATTCTGGGCAAAGTACCAAAAGATAGTCTCTGAGTCTCCTATAACCAATATTCAATTTTAGGCCATACAGGAAAGGTAATTTGTGGGATCCCTTATCACGTTCCACGTGGTTCAGGATTCCTGTTCAGAGTCCAGTTTCTGGAGAAGGCCGCACACAAATGAAGAGACTGGAAAAGAGTTAATTTGGGGAAAATGGGGGGTCAGGTGGGAGTCTACCTCTATGGGGAGGAACTACCCCCAGGCTCTGGCCTTGCTGTTTCTAGCAGTAATTGATACTGAATTTTAGGGATGGTGGTTGGAGAGTGGTGTTTTTTTTTAATCTTCGCCTGAGGATATGTCGTTAGAGAAACATCTTTGCCTCCTTTAAGCACCCTGAAAGGAGATTGAACCTGAAACCTAGGTTTGTGCCCTGATCAGGAATCAAACCCACAACCTTTCTTTTGTGTGTACGGGATTATGCTCCAGCCACCGAGCCACCCAACCAGGGCTAGGGCGAAGGGACATTCTTCAGCTCGTAGAGGACAGACTCTTGGCGAAGTTTTGACTGAGGTCTAGAAATCAAACTTATTTAGCTGGTAAAGGGTAAGTAACTTTCTAAGGCTAGTGATGTTTGCATATTCCAGATTCTGTCCACAATTCTAAATACCCATGGACTTGTGTATCCCTATCTGCCTACACATTTCTATTATCTTTCTAAAACCACTTCAGCATGCCTGTTACGTTTAGTCACACAATTTTACATAATGACACAAATCCAAATGAAAAACAAGCAGCAACAATTTGCACAAGGCTATTTATAATTCCACAGTTCAGTAATATATTGTCTGCATTAAAATGTCATGGACTATTTTGTGTACTTGCAAATGCTTTCCAAGAAAAGTGGAATAACATTTTGAGCTCACCTAGCAAAGTTGCCATGTAATTGCAAAATGGAATGTAATTATCACCTGAGCAGAGAACAGTCTTAGGAATCTTCCTTACTGAGTGATCTTATTCTGGACTGGGAATGTATAATGGAATGAAGTGAAGGGATAGGCACAAGACTCAACCAAGAAATGGCTTTTCCCTAGAAAGGTCTGCATTTAGACTCCAGGAATGTCAAGTGTTTGTGGCAGGTCACATTGACAGCTGCTCGGCATAGATCCCTTGTCTGTTCCTTGAATTTTAGCAGGTACAACTGTCTAGCACCTGTGGAGGAACTATGATTGTTCAATTTAGTCACAGCAATTCCAGTCTTTTTTATTTATTAATTTTTATTTATTTTTTTGCTAGATACTTGTATGAACTTCCAGCTTCTTAGTTCTGGTCATTGGGATATGAGAAAGTCTGCTGGGTTCTTCTGAGGATCATCCTATCTAATAAAGAGGGAATATGCAAATTGACCATCACACCCTCACAAAGATGGCGGTGCCCAGTCCCCTCAGCCCTTCTGGAGTCCCCCAGTCCTTTTAACTGGGTGGGTGGTGGCAGGTGCACGGTGCGGCCAGACCTGCCCTCAGCCCCCCAGCTAACCAGGGCCAGCCCGAGGTGCAGATAAGTCTTGGATGGGGATGGTAGCCCCCCACCTAGAGCTGCCTGAGGCTCAGGTAACTTGGGCCAGCCAAGGCTGCACTGCCAGCAGAAGTGTGATGGGGGTATTGCCTTCCCCTGATCACTGGGTCACCTCCAGCCCCTGAGGGCTCCCAGACTTTGAGAGGGGGCAGGCTAGGCTGAGGGACCCTCTCCCCGCTCCAGTGCATGAATTTTCATGTATCGGGCCTCTAGTTTCACAATAAGAAAATACAAAGAGAGGCCCTCCCTCCCTGTTTGAATGAGGACTTAATGTTTGGGGAAGCAGGAGCCATTTTGTATCCAAGAAGGAAAGGCCAAGACAATCTGAGAGACAAACCAGACCCCTATCACTGAACTCAAGGACCCCTGGAAGCTAACAGTTTCAAAGTTTTGTAAATAGTAACTCTATGGGTGCCTTTTCCCCGGTAGGGAAGGAGGTGCCCTGCTTCAAGTCTTCCCAGTTAAACTGAAGTTTTAACAGAAGGAGATTGCCTGTGAACAGCCAAAAGTCAGTACAACTGAAATATGGCAGTTCATCCCAGTACATTTCCTGGAACACTTGCTCCTGAGAACAGTTTACTCTCAAAATTAAAGTACTGGGATAATGTTTACACACATGATTTCTGTCTTTTCCAGTTCATACAGTGAAGACACCATTTGTTCTTTTAGAAAGTCAATCAGTGAACAAACATTTATTCAAAAGCTAGTAAGTCCCAGGTACTACTATGTGCTTGATACTAAAGACACAAGATGGAGTCCCTGCCCTCCTGGAGACAAACATGAAGCAAATATTCCACCAGGAAGTAGTGACACTTAAGTGTGCCCTGAGAGTAACTGGGAAATAAGCCTATGGATGGTAGCAGTGGTCAGAGGAAGCTTCCCCAAGGGAGGAACAAGTAAACTATTCAAGATTATTCAGAATTTTTCAATTGAAAAATGAAGAAAGTAGGGGTGGAGAGGAGGAGACACCAAGAAATGGAGGCAGTAGAAATTATGGAAGTTGGCAATTGATGTGGAAGTGAAAGTCAAGGATGGGCTACAGGGTGATGGAGCACATTCATTAGTGTGGTCAATTGTAAAAAAATGGATCCATTCTCTACCCCTCTGCATTCCAGTGCCTCTGCAGCTCTCTCCACCGAGGAGTGGAGTGTTTTTCCCTACCTCTTGAATTTGAGCTGGCGTTATGACTTGCTTTGGCCAACAAAAGAGCAAAGGTGATGGGTTCATCTCTGAGACTAGGTCTCATGAGGCCTTTTCCACTTCGTCACTCTCTTGAAACCTTTCTCAGCCACCATGAGAATAAGCCCTGGCTAGCCTGCTTGATGAGCAGAGACATGTGACTCAATTACTGTCCCTCCCTTATCACAGCTGACTGGCAGCCAGGTGCAGGATAATGCCAGTTCCTCAAGCCCTGTCAGCTCTGCAGAGGCATGAGAGAGCCAGCCAAGATCAGCTGGGACTGGTGTAGTGTAGGATAACCACCCCATTGATCTTTAGACATGTGAGCAAATATGAGGGGTCATTGTTTTAAGCCAATTGTATTTGTGTTTTTTTTTTTTTTTTAAGGCAGCAAAAACTAGCTAATTCAACCAGGATAGAGGGAGGAGTGAGTAAAGGAAGGGTGTCTAATAGGCAATTGGACATAAGAGGCTGGAATGCAGGAGGCCAGAAGCATAAGGTAAAACTCCCAAGGCTCTGCCTTGCCAGGGTGGGCCCAGAAACCCATGACCAGGCCATATTTCTCTTTTGTGTTCTCTTGCACTCTCCACCTCACCCTAAACTCCACTTTACACCTGGAAGTCAGTACTGGAATGAATAGAGAAGCACTCGCATGATTCAAGTGCCTAGGTCCTGAGCCAGAGCTTCCAGCCCCCTAGCCCATGGAATGCATATGGGAGTGTTGATGAGTCAATGCCGCTAGTGCCAGCTGAGGAGCAAACAAGTAGTAATGCCTCCAGGGGCCTTCACAGATCTGCAGCCTGGTCACAGTGACTACCGTTCCCTTGTACTGCTACTATGAGCTCTCTCCCATCCCCTTTTCCCTAATATTGTCATCCCTCATCACCTTTTGAAAATAAGAAGCAACGTTTGGCAGGAATTTACCTCCCACTGTTGGCAGAAACATCCTACTGAAAACAGTTTTCTCTCTTCCTTTCCTCCTCCAGCTCCTAACTCTGATCTCAGGTTCCCTTCCTCGTCTATTGACTCAGGATGGCCTCTGCGGGCTGGAGGAGGCCACCGGGCTCAGGCTTAGGCCGGCGAGAGGCCGCCCCGCACTCTCGGGACAGTGCCTGCACTTCCAGCTTCTGGGCGCCCTGAGATGCGCAGGTCCCCGAACCCAGAGCGTCAGGCGGCGGGGAGTGCGCCAGCCCGCAGCGTCGGCCTCCCGCTCCCGCCCGCCAACCCCGGGGGAGGGCGGGGCAGGGGAGGAGCCTGAGGCGGCGCTGCGCCCCGGAGCGGAGTCCTTTAAAAGCCGCGGGCGGTGGCGGGGACAGCGCGGCGGTGCGCCCGGCCCCGGTACCCGAGTCCCCGCGCTCCCGCTCGCCAGCCACCCCGCTGCGGCCGCGGCTCGCTGCGCGGCTTGTGCTTCGGCGGCCGGACGCGCTCCATGCGGCCGCCCAGCATGTCCGGGCACTTTCTGCTCGCGCCCATCCCCGAGTCCTCCTCCGACTACCTCCTGCCCAGGGACATCAAACTGGCCGTGCTGGGCGCCGGCCGCGTGGGCAAGAGCGGTGAGTGCCTGGGGGAGCCCACCGGGCGGAGCCCGCCCCGCCGGGCCGGGCCGAACGGCGGGGCGTGGGGAGGAGCGGGAGCGCACGGCCGGGGAGGAGGACCGGGCGCAGGGGGGACGCGCACATCCCCTCCCTCTGGCTTCCCCGGCAGCCTTTGGTGGGCTGTCGCCGGGTTGGGCTCCGCTGGAGAACGAGGGCCGGTGCAGCAGGTCGAGCACCGGCAGTCGTCCCCGCCGCCAGCGGCGCAGAGACCACGGGGCTCCCCCGGGGCTTGCAGAGTCCGCTGCCCCTTCCTCCCGCCTCTCCCGGGGAGTGTTGGACGGTCCCGTCCAAGCCCTTCACCTGATTTTCCTATTTCACTTTCAGCAATGATTGTGCGCTTCCTAACCAAGAGATTCATCGGCGATTATGAACCGAATACAGGTTAGAATAGTTATGTGCCGCCCTGCTTTTGTGGCTGCATGCTTCCGTTTTCTTTGTCCTGCGGAGAGTGTAGGAATTTAAAAGCACACTCTTCTTCCTTCTCCAGGCAAGTTGTACTCACGGCTAGTGTGTGTCGAGGGCGACCAGCTGTCCCTGCAGATCCAGGACACCCCCGGGGGAATCCAGGTGAGGACTTCCCTCCCGACCCCGAGGGCGCTGGGCAGCCTGAGCAAGCCGCTGAGCCGGCTGGGTGTGTGTTTGGATGGGAGGAGGGGGCTGTCCCCAGGAGGGGCCGGTCAGTGGGCTGTTAGAAACCTTCCAGGAGGGCAAGGACTGGGTGTTGGAGGCTGCTTCCTCCTGTGCGCCACCTCTGACATCTCATCATTTTCACATAGTTTCACCTCTGAGAGGGGGAGAGGCGCTGGACTTCTCTTTACAAGCTGTGAGGGCCAGGCCGCTGGCATGGGTCTCCCACCTCTTCCAGGGCTGGCCGGGGAACCTATAGCAACACTGGCTGGGGCTCTGGAGAGGGTCTTCTCCCCCAGCAGGGACTGCGGAAGTGCTTCTGTTTCTAGCCGTGCCCGCAAGTCACTAATTGCAGTCAGACACTCTTGGCGCCTGCTCAGGAATGTAACTTGATTAAGTTAATTGCTCTCCCTTCTAGGGAGGAAAGGTCTCGGGGAAGAACCGAAAAGAAAGAATTTGTTTCTGGAACATTCTCAAGAAGGACATGCTAAAAATATTTTTATGGGTTTTGGGAATAGATGTTTATCTTGGCTTATTTCCAAAGTTTTGCTTTTTCTGAGTTAGTGCCTTAAAAATGGTGACATTCTGATTTGGAAGTTCTCATTGAAGTCATTCTTAAGTCAGCCTAGGTTCACCCCAGACTACCTGCCCGGCAGGGAGGTTAAAAACAATGCATTGGTAACAGCTCATAAAATAACCCAGGCAGGGAACTTGCCTGAGAATTTGCTCTTTCTACATCAAAAACCTCCTTCTGCAGAAGCAGGGCAGAATCTGAAAACTGTATTCAGTGATTTCTTTTTCAACCATTGCTCAAAGTTTACTTTGATGTTATTTCGAGTCCTCTCCCACTGAAAGCCTCCTTGATCAGACTCCATTTGATCCTCACAGGTCCAAGACAACCTCATGCAGGTGGTTGACTCCCTGTCCAAATGCGTGCAGTGGGCAGAGGGCTTTCTGCTGGTCTATTCCATCACAGACTATGACAGCTACCAGTCGATCCGCCCCCTTTACCAGCACATCCGGAAGGTCCACCCTGACTCAAAGGCCCCTATCATCATCGTGGGCAACAAGGGGGACCTTCTGCATGCCCGGCAGGTGCAGACTGATGATGGTGTTCAGCTAGCCAACGAGCTGGGCAGCCTGTTCCTTGAAATTTCCACCAGTGAAAACTATGAAGATGTCTGTGATGTGTTTCAGCATCTCTGCAAAGAAGTGAGCAAGCTGCACAGCCTCGGCGGGGAGAGGAGAAGGGCCTCCATCATTCCTCGGCCACGCTCTCCCAACATGCAAGACCTGAAGAGGCGCTTCAAGCAGGCTCTGTCTCCCAGGGTCAAAGCCCCTTCCGCACTGGGGTGAACCCGCCCCGGACAGACTACCTCCTTTTTATTATGCATTTGTGCAGCTGAAAAGACTGGGGAGGAGGTCTCCTTTTTAATCACACATTCAGAGTTTATTTTTATACAAACTATTGGTTTGCAAATTGTATGTGTATTTCTGAAAATTCAGTGATTGCCTAGAACTTGAAGAGTTGTTTTTTTAAATAAAACTTTTTTTTTTTTTACTGTAACTGCTAGCCACTCTTCCATTAAAGGCAAAATGGCAACATTTCGCCTTGTTTCTTAAATGTCTTTTTATAGAAATCATACTTGCACCAGAGCCCAGAACTGCTCCATGCTTGCCCCAGCCTGAACTCTGATTGGTGTTTCTCTGTTGGGAGGGTTTAAGTGGAGGGAATGTTTTGTGGGAGAAAGAGAAATATGTGGAGGAGGAAAGAGATTTGAATAACTGCAGGATGTCTTTAATTAGGGCACTTTGCCACAGGCATGAAATTAACAAACAACATTTGATTTCCACTGTGCAATGATGTTAAAAATTACATCAGTGCAAATGGTATTTTGTTTTTTAAATAAGGGTGGGAGAATAAACTTCCACTTGTACCAATAAATAGTAATGTTATGCTGCAAACAACAAGTGACAAAAACAAAAACATTTTTCTTTATTTCTTATCTCAGTAAGTGCTCTCTACCATTCAGGAGTTGCCTAAAAATTCTCATTTCATCTCTATCTCCCTGGCCCTCATATTCAATAGGGTATCTGATCTGTCAATTTTTAATTTTTTTCTAAATTGTCACTGTCTGCCTTAATTCAGGCCTTTACCAAGTGTAGGCAAGGGTCCAGGCAAGACTCTGGTTTCTGGGCTTGTGGAATGCCACCTGTCTAATTCTTTCTTTATACTAAAACAATCTTACTAAAGCCAACTCTAATAATTTTATTTTCATGATTAAAAAAACTTCAACTGATTTTCCCTTATTTAGTGGATAAAATATAAATGAGACATGGCATCAAGATTATTCACCACTTCTCCAGCCTCATCCTCACCTGCCAACACACACACACACACACACACACACCCTCCATGCCAATAGTCCGGTATGCCTTTCTCAGTATACATGAGGCTCTTTCACACCTCTTTGCCTCGGCATAAACTACTTCCTCTGCCTTGAATATTTTTCCATCTTCTTCACCTCCAATATGGCTATCTCATCTTCCAAGACCCAAGGCACATTCTACTTTCAGCCTCTGGGAGCCCTCTCTGAGTCTCCTATTTTCATTGCATCTGTGTTATAACCCAACCATGTCATGTAGCTATTGATCACCTTCTTTGGAAGAAGCACTGCTCAAGGGCAGTCACTGCATTTTATGACTTTGTATTCAAAGCTTCTAGTCCAGTACTTACACGTGAAGTGATAGGTTTTCAGTAAAAATTTAATGAATAAATGACTGAATGTATTTATTGGGGCCAAGGGACAGTATGGGAGATTACAAAGACAAAAGAACAAGGACAGGAGACATTCTGAGTAGTTAAAAGTTCTTTATTCGCATGACACAGATAGTGACACATGCAGCTTCTGGCCATTGCAGACCATTGCCCTTCCAAGGCCACCTCTGTCCAAACCTCTGACAGTAACACCAATATTCCCCCTCCTTGAGGGGCACTTACCTACGTAAAATGAGATGATCGATTTAGAAAATTAGATCATTTATATCTAAAGGAATGTCCAAACTTTTAAGAAGAAATATTATTTTAACCCCATTAATGTGGCTCAGTGGTTGAGGGCCAACCTATGAGCCAGGAAGTCACGGTTTCATTCCCTATCAGGGAACGTGCCTGGGTTTGCAGGTTCTCTATCCAGTGGGGGTTGTGCAGGAAGCAACTGATTAATGATTCATTCTCCTCACTGATGTTTCTCTCCTTCCCCTTCTCTGAAAACAATAAAAATATATTTAAAAAAATATTGTTTTATATTCCATTACCCTAAAAAAGGACTCAATTCTCCTTGCTCATTTGCATATTCTCATTCTATCATCTCCATTCCTGCTTCCTACCACACCTAAGCATGGACATGAGAACAATTGATCCTCCTAATCATGGTTATGCTCACAGCGTGCCCAGGTTGCCACCCAGTGCCAGAGGGCTCCCTCTTTATGTTCAAGAAGCTAAGATCAAACATCTCATAGGAAAAAGTTAAGCCATAACTTTGCAGCTAAAGGAAAATACAAGAGATGTCCCAATGCAGCCTATGATCCAATTCCAAGTGAGAACAGGAAGTACCCTCGTGCTCTCCAAGCGAGCACACTGTGGACCAGAGGGGTCAAAAATGAGTCATGAGTTAGTTCCAAAGGGAGTGACAGCCTCCAGGGGCCCAAGGAAGCTAGGGGTCAGGCAGCAAGCACCCTACCCGGTATTTTTCCTGTCCTCAATGTCACAAATATAATAACGGCCTCCAGGGCCCCGTGGCTTTCTTTATTTTCTGGTCCCAGAACTAGCCTAGCACAGGACGTGGTTCCCCGATGCCTGTTGTCTCTCTCCTGGGGTCTCTTGGGGAGTCAGGTGTTTGGGAACATCTGGAAAAAGGACCTGGGACCATAGCCCTGGAGATGGGAGAGAGGAGCAGGCAGTTATCAGGATGTGGTTAGGTGGGATTTGGGTGTCAGATTTGAGGGTAGGGAAGAGGATCTGAGGATCTGGATTTAATTGGGCATAGAGAAGGCCCTTATTGGAGAAGCTGAGCCTGGAGCCCACCTTCCTTCCCCGCAGGAATGGGGAGGACAGGGCTGTGGGAGCACTGGGTGTCATTATGTTACTGATGGGGGCAGAACTCCTGAAACATTGGGCAGGACACCGAAAACGTGGGTGGGTGTGGGGAGGCCAGAGTGTACACATTTCCCCCTGGAAGTTATGCCTTAGCTCTGAGTGTCCTCATCAGCATGCCAATCCCCTGTCACCCTCAGGAGGGAGGTAGGGCTACAGCATTCCTGCCCCTTCTTCGCTCCCCCACCCCAACCAGAGCCTCTGTTTTTGAACTCCCCGAGTTTCCATTGGTCATGCCTCCCTTTGGTTAAGGCTTGGTCTAATTGTACTCCAAAACTGCAGAATGATCTAATTAACATGCCTATCAGCATGGTCCTGGAGAAATGGACAGGATCCAAAGGCTAAATTATACATCCTGCAAACATTCTTGTTTCACATGTGACTCATGAAAAGTGGACTTGAATAATGGAAAAATACATGAATTCTAACAGAAGAAAATAAATTTGTTTTGCTTCTATTGAGATGAAAGGCTCAATGGAAGATCCAAAGTTTATTAATATCCATATGGAGAAATGGATTAAAATAAGTAATTATGGAAGGTCGCAGTGAACAAAACAGCAAATAGGAAAGACAAGATAATGGTTAAATAGTGAACTGGGGGCTCCAATAGCTTCCCCTCCATGCCATGTTTATATTGTAGTTTCAACTTCTCATTATGTAAAGTTACCAATTTAAATTTATGATGCAAAGATAGTTGTATGCTTAATAATTTATTCTTACCATCTCATCTGTCTTCATATAAAATTGATTTCAGAGAGTGAGGAAGGGAGAGGTAGAGAGATAGAAACATTAATGATGAGATAGAATCACCAATAGGCCACCTCCTGCCTGTCTCACACTGGGGATGAGTCTGCAACCTGGGTATGTGACCTGACCAGGAACTGAACTGTGACCTCCTGGTTCATGGGTAATGCTCAACCACTGAACCAGACCAATCGGGCCCAAAGGTGAAATATTTTGAAAGACTTAGTCTCCAACTGCTTTGGCACCCAATAGGAAAGATGTGATACAGAAACAAACAAGCAAACTCCCAAATGATTATTTCCCAAACACCATTAAGTTAGCTAGGGTGCAAAGAAATTTAACTGATGAAAGCAATGATTAGTTTGCAATAGCAGCACAGTTTTCAGCATCCAGATTAGGAATTTGTGTCTCCTAGAAAAAATGTAATCTACCCTCCTGTACTTCCTCAACCCAATAGAAAATGAGCTCCATTAAGGTGGGATGGGTCTCATGCTTCTTGGATCCAGCACCTGTTAGAGTGTCTGGTACACAGGATCCTCAGGACTATTTACTCTACTGAGCTATTAGAGAACTAAGGAGTCCATAACGTCACTTCTGTATAGTTTACGTGTGCAGGGTGCATATCTATATTCTGGGTTCCCATTGTCAAACGGTCAGAGATGGCCCTTTCCCAATTCTCAAAAGCAGGGCTACCTGAACAAGCAGCTTGCCACCATAGTGATTTGCATGGTTTCAAATCACATTTATTGAGAGCCTGTCTTGTGCTTAATGCTGTGATTGAGACTGCCTTCCTCGTCTAGAAGCTCAGGCCTCTGGGAGTTCTGGAGGAGTGAAAAGTGAACTAAGACTTTGATCCAAATCTAAGAGTGTTGACAAAATGAGAGGAGGGTGCAGATCAGAGCAGAGAATGGACTGGAGACAAATATTCTATGGAGTGTGAAACTATCCTTATTAAGAAAATGATGTTTCTTACTTTATAAATTGTCAAACATTATTTCCTTTGAGAGCGCCGAATCCTAACCACTAGACCACCAGGGACTGTCATTATTTCCTTTGAATATGCTTATGTTCAGTTGAGGATTAATGAGTTACATTTGTAACTTCCTGCCATTTCTTACTGGCATTGTCCTAACTGGTTTGGCTCAGCGGATAGAGCGTTGGCCTGCGGGCTCAAGGGTCCCAGGTTCGATTCTGGTCAAGGGCATGTACCGTGGTTGCGGGCACATCCCCAGTGGGGACTGTGCAAGAGGCAGCTGATCAATGTTTCTCTCTCATCGATGTTTCTGGCTCTCTATCCTTCTCCCCTCCTCTCTGTAAAATCAATAAAAATATTTAAAAAATTAAAAACATTGTGAACTACAAGGCTTACTTGTGTAAAAAGATTTTGCCTGGAAATACATGGTTTATAACTCTGGAGAAATATGGATGTTTCAGGAGCTCCTGCTGATGAACAGTTACCCACCAGCTTTACGGAGGCAACATCGCCGGGGTTCTGGGTGAAATCAAGGTTAGACCCCATTTTGCTCTTGAAGGACATGTGACTTAGGCACAACACACTGTAAGTTTCCTTACCTCAGAATGGAGATAAATACCTCTGGGCAGAATTATTGGCTCAGCCTGACACAGATAAGAACTTAGAAAACGAGGCTCAAAGTGGCCTAAGGGCACAGGAGCCAGGGAACCACGAGGCCTGGCTCCAGGAAGGACAAGAGTCCCTTCAGCGCAGGGCTGTTCCCCGGGCAGGTCTGTGCAGGCCAGCATATTTTCAGAAACTGGTGAAAACGAAGACTCCACTGCTCTGTATTTGAGCCGTGGAGGAGGAATCCGGGTTTTAAGGAGCTCCCTTGATGCTTCATGTTTAGAGCTTTTGAGTGAGATCATACTCTGAGCTCACCCGTTGCTTCCTCTTAACCCAGGGAAGTCAGATGTGCAAGGAGAGCAGGGATACCACACAGAGTCGGGGGTGGGGGAAGTACCTCAGGAGTGGGCAGAAGTCGGGGATGGAGCCCCTGGTTTCTCCCAGTGCTGTTGCTGGTGAGGCAGGGTGTGGGATGGGTTGACCTCTCTGTTTCTTTCTTTTTTTAATTTAATTTTATATTTTATTGATTTTTTACAGAGAGGAAGGGAGAGAGATAGCTAGAAATGTCGATGGGAGAGAAACATCAACCAGCTGCCTCTTGCACACCCCCTACCGGGGATGTGCCCGCAACCAAGGTACATGCCCTTGACCGGAATCGAACCCAGGACCTTTCAGTCCGCAGACTGACACTCTACCACTGAGCCAAACGGGTTTCGGCTGACCTCTCTGTTTCATCCAGTCTTCTCAGAACCCTGATAGAGCCGCTCCTTCTCCAGTTCGGGGTCTTTCCCACCACTTTGAAAGTCATGGTGAGGTGGAGGCAGTGGATAGGGGGTGGGGGTGGCGGGCAATATCAAAGTCAGCATGCCCAGAACACCCTTCCACTGGCCAAATCTCTCCTCAGTCTCTTTGACCAGTGTCTTGAGAAGCAGCCTGCACCCAGGCCCCATCCCCTTCCACCCCCTTCAAGCCCTTTCTTTTCTCCTGGAGGCAGAAGGTTAACACTTTGCAGGGTTTGGGGGTCCAGGAGTTGTTGAAAGTCAGTGTGGTGAGGGGGTTAAGGCAGCGAATGATTTACCACAATGGGAAGCATAAATTCATAATCACATTTGGCAGCTCAAAGTGTCTTCCCATCACAAATTAATCTGGTCCAGGATGGCTGTGTGTGTGTGTGTTTGTGTGTGTGTATGTGTGTGTGTGTGTGTGTGTGTAGTTTGTAGTACATATTCTCCCAGATGGGAAAAATATGAGGATGCTGCCACCATGTTTGAGGGGCTGTTTCCAGGAACTATGTGCTAGTCACAT